CGTATAAAATATTCTACCTGCTATTAATATAGGGCAGGTAACTGCTGAATAGCTACCAGTACCACGTGCATCACATTCAACAGTGTAATCATTGATACTTAATGATGGAGTAAATATTATATCAGACACCAGAGGACCAGAACTATCCGTCAGGTTGGCAGTGAAGTCATTCCTGATAATTGACATTGCTGGTAATGGTTGATTTACAGCATATGGAACAACACCAGCAATTGCAAGATTATTATCATCGAATATTGTCCATCTTAAAGTATCAGCTCCACCAGTTGTATTTACACTACACTCATAACTAACTGGCTGAGAGAGACACACTGAACTGGGACAATTAGTGAACCGAGAAGTACCTATATTTATTTATTTAATTTTATAACTTTCCAGCACTGACAAAATAAAGGTATTTTAATAAAATTCAATCAATTTGGCATAAAAATAGTTAAAAAAATAGACATAATCCTACTTAGTAAAAGATATAAGAAATAAATATATACATACACTATAAAAGAGAGACTTACCACTAGCAAGTAAAAGTAAACTTGAAAAGCTTAGAAAAACCACTGAAAAAGAAGGCAAAGTCCGAGGAACAGTCAGAACAGGCATTGCAGTTCGACGTGTATCTAGATCTATTACCGTAGATCAGGAAATTAGTGTGGTAGGAAATTTTTGCGGTTTAAAATTGTGCTGTGACTTAATTTTTACTAAATAAGACTGTGTCATGTATTATTGAATGTGGCATGTGACTTATATAGGTAATCTAATTTTTTTTTTTTGCGAAATTCTAATCCAGTAAAATTTAAATCACAGTAAAAATTTCCAGATAGACGGTATATCTTTATCCTTAGTATCCTACTCATCTAACTACTGCGTGCAATTTTACATTCCAGATCTAAGGTCACGTGTGGTGAGATCACGTGAGTCGTAGCTAAAATATTTTATTTATTTACAGCTGCTTAGTGGTTGAACTTTACATAATGGCTGTTAGTCCGAGTGTTAGTCTGACTGTGCCCTTTTTTTCAGTGGTTTTTCTAAGCTTTTCAAGTTTACTTTTACCTGCTAGTGGTAAGTCTCTCTTCTCTTTTCATTTTTGAAAAGATGTTACATGTATATCAACTTCAACTCTTCACTGATTCATCTCTCCTCTCTCCCTCTCTTACTCTATCCCTCCTTCTCTCTGATCATTAATTATAGTTTTTACATTTCCACGGTCCCAACTTTGCTTGGTGTACCCTCAACTTTCATTGTCTTTCCATAATTTCACTGTCTTTTCTCTGTAGCATTTTAAGTTGTAAAGTATTAATAATAATATTAATGATGATGATGATGATGATAAAATCCTATTTATACAATTGTATAGGTACTCCTCAGTTCACTAATTGTCCCAGTTCAGTGTGTCTCTCTCAGCCAGTTAGTTATGAGTGTAGTGTAAATACAACTGGTGGAGCTGATACTTTAAGATGGACAATATTCGATGATAATAATCTTGCAATTGCTGGTGTTGTTCCATATGCTGTAAATCAACCATTACCAGCAATGTCAATTATCAGGAATGACTTCACTGCCAACCTGACGGATAGTTCTGGTCCTATTGTCTCTGATATATCGTTTACTCCATCATTAAGTATCAATGATTACACTGTTGAATGTGATGCACGTGGTACTGGTAGCTATCCAGCAGTTACCTGCCCTATATTAATAGCAGGTAGAATATTTTATACGAGTATATCTTCCCCTCTCACTTTCTCCCCTAAAGGTATTCCAGATGCTCCTGTTCCTAATGATCCTAACTTCACTTCTGATACTCTTACCTTCTCCTGGTCTCCATCAAACAGTACTTGTGTATCTCATTACAATGTTAATGTTACTAGTATTGACTATACTATCAGTACTAATGATACTAGTCTGAGTTTACCAGTACCTTCAACTAATGATACAGAATATTCTATTAGTGTAGTAGCTGTTGATACTGGGGGTAGATATATGAACCCTATGGATGAAAAATCATTTGAAGCTAATGGTAAGTAGATTAATGATAATACAGTTATTCTTAGATATTTTATGAACAGTCCCTGAATTTGTGAGTGACTTAATGGTAAATCAGACTGGTCTCAGTATTAACATATCATGGGATGAAGTAAGTTATTTAACACTAAACAGTGACCCTATATTATCTTTGTAGCCACCTACCCTTATGTTTCTCCCTGTATTAAGTTATACACTACATCATAATGTTACAAGTGATGCTAGTATAACAATATTAGCTCCTAACACTTCATACATTATACGGTCTAGTGTTGTTGCAGGATCAGTGTATACTGTTGGAGTGGAAGCTGTTAATACATTAGGAACTGGTCCTATTGCATCAGCTACAATAAGTTAGTTATTGTTAATTATTATTTTGCTGTAAATACTTGTATATACTTTAGTGATAATTTCTACTTCAACAACTGAAGTGTCTTCAACTACTATATCATTTCTTACTATTTCTACTTCTTCCCTCACTTCTACAGGCATCATTAGTACTTCTGTTCCTTCTCCTACTATTACACGAATGAGTATGACAATGTCACCTTCTGTTACTAGTAGTACACCTGGTAAGCATGTACTTCACTTTATCTGCAACATTTACATTATAATATAGTAGTTACAAGTACGAGCAACTCAACACAATCCACACCAACATCTATACCAACTAGAAGTCCTAGTATGTGTTTATGATTAATTAATGTCATTATTATTTTTCAATTCAGGTGGATTAGACAGTGCAGTGTACATTGGTATAGGAGTTGGCGTAGCACTGATTATCATTGTTATACTAATACTCATTGTTGTTGGTTACCTGGTCTGGCGTAAATCTAAAGGAGAGCAAGGTCAGTACTACTCACTTATGTAAAGTACAGCATATATAGACCATCTCTTTTGTGTATAGCCAATTTCGATCAAAGAAGAGGTAGGCCAATTTAATAAGATCCTTTAAGCTGCCCCATTAGACTAATACATACATTAAATTATGTACATTAAAATGAACGTATTTAAGGTAAGTGTATTTCTTCTTTTAGATTCAACAGAGCCTATTGCATTAGTAGACAAGAAAGACCATGGGTAATTTTGAGCTTTTTAATTTTTATTTTAATTTATATTATAGTAGTAGTCCTGCAACAGGTCAGCCTATATATCAAGAAGCAATGTCCAGTGAAGACATTCAAAGAGAGGCAGCACCAACCACTGGGGAATTGTATGCACAGCCAAGCAAAGGATCGACAAGACGTCCTCCTCCTCAACCTCAGTCTGAGCTGGCTACCTATCAAGACCCTAGCACCATACAGAGAACACAAGCACCTAATATGGAGTATCTATATGCTGAAGTGGATAAGTCTAAACCACAGCAGCAACAAGCAGTGTATGCACAAGTTGATAAAGAGAAAGTGAGTTAGTCTTCTATACACATTCATGTACTGTATGTCTTCATTTCTATTCTCTCTATTATTTCTCTATGTCTTTTACTCTAATTATAAATTCCATACTTCCATAAGCTCATGAATACACTTACATAGTTTCCAGAACCCTTACAACGCATACCCTTCCTGCCCCCATACCACTTTTAGTATATATTTAGTATCAGCCTAATCACATGATGTCCTTATATGGTAATTTTTTGGTTACAGCTGTTTCATGTACATGTACATATGTACTAGCGCCAGCGGAGATAGTGATAACTGTTTACTTTATATCTGAGTCTGTTTCCTTTTGTTGTGTGTTGTGTTCTATCCTATTGCCTTCTCTATACCGTATAGCGGGATATTTTCGTGGAGTCTTATTTTCGTGTTTTTCGTGTCCAAGATACTTTCACGAAAATTTAATGCACGAAAATTTAGCACATATTCGGTATAGGCGTGTCCTGTTGCAGTATATTGCTCCACGTGCAATGAAATGGAGAAATACTTCAAGCCGCTTCCAAAAAAGCTTCCATTGATGAAAGTACACTTGGCTTACCCTCAAAAACGATTAAAGCTGTCGAGAGAGAGGTAGAGAAAGCTCACCAGGCTTTGCCAGAGGCTCTTATAATACAGTTATCACGAAAATTTAACCCACGAAAATCTCAACCACCCCAAATCACGAAAATTTGACCCCACGAAAATATCCCACTATACGGTATTGACATGTGACCCTCCTGTATTGTAGTGGTTGTATTATTATGGCTATATCAATATATAGTGGCCATTCATTAAGGAAAGAAAGAAAGAAGTTGTGTCATGACTCAATGTATAGTTACATACCCTGTGCTTGTACATGTACATGTGTATACCATTATATAATTGTATTAGAGTATTATTTATGATTCAAATGATAATAGGTATTTCTTTATTAGTATAATTGAGTCAATCTGGTAGCTTCCCTTGTACTCTTGCTGTACTCTTGTAAGAGGAAGGGAAGACATTCATTTTATCATGTTGTGTGTATTGATAGAGGCCAAGTTTAGTGACCCACAATCCAACCTCTAGCCATTATTATCTGGAGGTTATGTACATGTAGTATAGGCAGTTAGTTTATTCTGTGCCATTGATGTAATACTATATTGTTATAGAGACTAGCCTTGTATAGTCTCTATTCATGAATAATAGTATGATATTGTACTTACATCATCATGAATATACACTGATCACACCACTAGGAATATTGCATCGTATAGAGTGTCACTGTGATGTTATATGGTGTATTGGATAAAGAGAGAGAGAGGGAAGGAGGGAGAATTTGCCACCTGTTTTAAAGTGTGATTTTAAAGTGTGATTTTAAAGTGTTATTGTTTGAGGGTGTGATTTCTAAAACCATCTCTATAATGCACACCTTGTTTGTAATGGCTGTTTATTAGATTTTAAAAGTGTGTCGGGGAGTCTACCTCATTCATTTCTAAACATTCACTCAATGCTTGACTAATCCTTTGTTTATCAAGGCACTCTAATTCCAGCCGTGTACATATGTACACAGATTACATATGTACATATGTATGTTCATCATAACTCAATAATTGCAAGATTAGTACCTTGTTGTTATCATGCTTTAGTCACTGGGCTACTACCTTATTTACTGTCCAACACTATCAGTAACTTGAACATTGATTTAATCACTGCTTGTTGACAATAGGAAAGAATGTCCCTAACACTATGTCCCTAACACTATGTCCCTAACACTATGTATGTACATGTATGTGTGTTCATGGTTAATATGCTGTTAGTGTATTGAATTAATGGTGTGTATATGTACATGAGTCCTGTGTATTTGTATAAAGGAAGGGTATAGGGTGAATACCATTGATGTAATGTAGCAACAAGGATTGTTAATGGAGCTATGTGTTACTATACAATCTTTACAACTGCCAAGACAATATGGCCACACACACTTTCACACTACAGCCACTCACTCCCCCTCTGTCTCTCCTGGCCCAACAGGACAATTCTCATTTACTAGCAGTACATGTACATGTACATTCTTATCTGATAATGTTGCTTATTATCTAAGTGTCAGTAACATGATGTATAAGGAATTTTATTAGTAAAAGAGTAATGCTGTATGTCCATCATTATTCTCTTGATGATAACAAGAGGCTTATTTACAATATCAAGCCATTGATTTAAACTGTGGGTCTGTTAGCAGTAGTTTACCCAGTAGGAGTTGTGACACCCACATCATGTTTTAAGTCACCTAATCCACCTGTACTAATTTAACTACCGCCCATATAAACTTGTACATATTCTCATTAGGCATGCACCTGCCAACATTACTACATCTCTAAACAGCATGTGACTCCATTATGTATACAGTTTGTGATAGCATTACTTCTAAACCATAACAACCTACAATGTGATATCAAATCATGTTTAATAGAATATGTACACATGTACTTGTGCATGTGTATATAGACTTAGCTAATGGTCTGCAATGGACTGTGTGGGTTAGTTTTCCCTAAAGTGTACACCTGCCAACTTATCTATTAACGTGTAGTAAATGTGTAGTAAACTCTGTAAGTGTATGTAGTAGTACAGATAGTAACAGTATAGTAGCGATGTAGTAATAGTAACAGTATACTAACAGTATAGTAATAGTATACTGTGTTAGCTTGTACTGTATGTTAGTGTAGTATCATGTCATGTGCTGTTGTGGGCCTATTGATATTCTTTTGAGGTGAGTTGTCTTTTTTGGCCACTGTAGTCCGCAGGAATGTGAAGCCAGCAAGGAAGCAGGAGAAATATGTACACGTTTACTTTATTAGATAAACATAATTTACATATTCTAGAGAGAGAAGAGAGTAAATTATAATTTTGTCTAATATGTCTGTCTCCAACTTTGCGGGAGGTGTAGAGTTGTTTAACCACTCACTCCATGTATTGTCTTTACTATAATGACAAGAGAGAGTGGCAGAATAATATTGACTGAGAGGGTATGTATGTCTTCTGTTTATACAATAAAGATACACTGTGTACTGTTGGGGTATACACTGACTACTGAACTGCCTACTAGCTTATAGTAAACAAGCAATGTGTAACGAAGCAGGGCGTTGTTGTTTCCCTTTCAATTTGTGTACAACAAAAGTACACATTTATATAAACATGTAGTTATGTTTATCTACAACCCTACATGCTCATGTACATGTTTCAGTACTGATTCTACAGACATCATGACTGTGTGTGTGTGTGTGTGTGTGTTCTAGGCTAGATTTGTTAATTTAATTTATAAAATTGTCTTCACTTCCATTATCAAGTGTTAAATGCAAATTGGCGTAGCAGACAATCATGCAGCTGGTCTTGTACACGTACATGTACATGTCAGTGTTGTATAACTAAATATTTAATGACACTGCTCTTCCCTTGTGTTTATAATGTACACACTCTATACAATACACTCATGATAAATTATTGATGACCACACCCATCACTTTTGTTATTCTCTGCCCATTTCTATTATACCACACCTCTTAATTATAATCATTATTGTTATTATTATTATTGTTGTTGTTGTTTTTTATTGTAGAAGGGAGGTGATGGTACAGTATATGCTGATCTTGATCTAAAGAATACTCAGGGTGTTCCAGTCACTGGAAGTAATCCAGCCAACGTCATTTATTCTGACGTCCATAATAATTAGAAAAAACTGCTCGACTGAAATATTATTAATTAATTAAATATTTGATGCTGTAGTTTGTAGAGGCAAGCCAAGGATTTTTGTTATTTTGCTTTGTTGTTTTTATTAATGTAATATTAAGATATCTCATTGGTAGTTAATAGTTGTATTGACTTACAACTTGTTATTGTTATTAAATTTTTATTATATTAATTTATTATTATTATTATTATTATTATTATTATTATTATTATTATTATTATTATTATTATTATTGTTGTTGTTCCTCATTTTTGAAGATTGACTATCTGATCATTAAAAGAAATTATTGATATTTTTGTACCTTTTTTATTAATTATACTTTAGGCTTATACCTTGGCTTTTAAAAAATATAATTAAAATTAAACTAATCACTTGCAATTTAGTACATAGTTAGTCATTGAACATCAAATAATGTTTCAACTGATTCCAAAAAAATGAATTTGTAAAATTGCTGCCAAAAGACTGGGCTATAGCACATTAAAAATGGTTGGGAGAGAATTTTCCAATTTTATACTTTTTTCTGATAGATACACATGTTCTTATGTTATTTATCAAGTTTGAACTGATTCCAATCAAATTTTTTTTTTATAAATTTTTTGAAGTTGCTTCAGAACCGGGCCAAGGACCAAAAGCTATAATAGCCTTGGGTCATCAGCCAAATTTCGTCAAAAATGGTTAGGAAAGAATTTTCCATTTTTATAATTTTTTCTGATAGATATACATGTTCTTATGTTATCAAGTTTGAACTGATTTTGATCAAATTTGGATTTTTTATGAATTTTTCAAGTCGCTCCAAAATTGCAATAATAGCCTTGGGTCATCAGCCAAATTCTGTCAAAAACTCTCTATTTTTATAATTTTTTTTCTGATAAAAAAATTCACTAAAATCACAATATTTATTACAATTTGACGGAATTATTGCAAATTAGCTGCACAACAAAATTACTGGTACAAACTCTCATTCGTCTCATGAGAAGGATTTGCTATCATTTCCATGTACTCCTCCTCGTCATCTCTTGAGGAAGAATCCTCCGCTGGCGCTCTCTGTATATTCTGTGCAACTGGTTTCACGTTTCCTCTTCTTTTCCCATTAGAAGCTCCAACATTCACATACATATTCTGATCCCCCTCTTCCTCCTTTTTACCATTACCTTTTACAATGCCATTACTCTCTTCTCTTTTCTCATTTGTACTATGAAGAGGTACGGGCGTCAGATAATCCTCCACATTTTCATAAGCATCGTCATCATTTTCATCATCTTCCTTTCTTTTTTTATCTTTTTCTTCTTTTCTGTGAGGATTTGGAGTAGGAGATGGTGACACTGCCCCGGTCGGTGATTCTGAATCCTTGGGAAGTACTTCAACATACTGGGGTTGTGGTGAATTACTCTCTCCTTCTCTCTCGTCGCTCCCTTCTCTTTTTTCTATGTTCAATATCAGCTCTTTTTTATTGCTATTGTCAAGACTTAATTTTTTGCTTGGACATTTTTCTTTCCCGACTCGTTTCTTTCGTGCTATGAGTATTACAACTAGCATTACTATTATCAGTAGTATCATCCCAACTATAACAATGACAATGATTGGTACTCCAACTTTAAGAAAGAGGTTATCTTCATCAGATGGTGTACCATCATCTGAAATAAAATAATTAATAAAATATTATTGTATTATTAATCCATTACCTCTACATCTATCCATTACTATGTTTCCAGTTAGCTCAAACTCTGTACTTGTCTCCAAACTATCCAATCTCACTTCATTCCTCATTCCGTATCCTTCAGCTTCATACAGTTCATCTCTTGCCAGTGAGAAATACTCCATTCCAGAGAGGACTCTACTTGCTATTTGTTCTTCCTCCCCGTCTCTTGATATAAGAAATCCTTCAATGTCACTCGTGTTACTGGCCATATTTTCAATATTAACATTGCAAACAGTAGCGCTAGAACTCAGTGCAAAGTGACAGGATATGGTCATTTGACAGTTTTGAGGATTATCATTTATACTGATTGACTGAAGATTAGTTGTCACTATAAAGAGAAAATGAGGGAGACATACCGGTATGTATTTTACTATTAGATAGATCTCTAATGTGAGCTAACTAATACACATTTTCATAATCATCGTCATCATTAGTAATTCATTGACACACTTCTTTACTAGCTACTTATCAGGCTGTGTTTACTTAGTAACAAAAATGATCCAACAAATGAAAACGTGATAAAATAAGAACAAAAACTGACTTATTTTTAAAACGGTGCATTTAAAAACGATTCTTGTTCCTTTTTGTTGCGTTGCTGTGTAAGCAAAGCCTTTGCACTCTTCTTACTAACTGCACTCACTGATTCAATTTACATATAAGGCTAATCTTCCTGGTTATCTGAGCTTGCTACTCCTACTAATCGCAATACTACAAAGGATATTGCTGGTTTTCTTAGTGCTTGTTAATGTTGACTATCCACACATGTCCTTGTGTTACATTCACTATATACAGATACACTGTGGGTGATGTCAGACCCACTGATACTGACCTTTACCATACAAGTGTGTCTGGCAGGATGGCAATAGCTACATGCATATCATATTAGGATCATTAATAGCTTCTTATAAGTCAAACTGTTGTATCATTTATGCTCTCGCTAATTATTTTAACACAAATACACCTTAGTAATCTTGGCTTGTTACAACTGCTGTTTATTTTCATTACAGACTACCTATATTCTTACATAATATGGTTCTATATTTTACAATTACCGTATGCTTGTATATACTAGTACTTTATTATCATTTATTAATCTCTCTTACTGAATGTATTAGTAATTCTTCTTGGTTCCAATGGTCTGCCGGAGTCTCTTTGAATGGCAGAGAGTGTGACAGTGTATTGTTGATCTTGTTCCAGATTGGTTATGACTTTAGTAAAAGATGTTATCGATGTGCCAAGTGTTGTGACATTGAGAAAGTCCTCGCTGAATGTTTGATTAGAGATTGTTAGTCTTAACCAGATAGGCTCTGACTGAAACGAGGGATTAGTCTATAATAAACAACAACTACTATAATGTACACATTTTATCTTTTAATGTCATTAATATAAATACATAAATGCAAGATATAATTTAAAAAATAATAATTCCTCACTTTCATACATTATTATAACAATCATCAATGCATAAGTGAATTTAATTGTATATTTATTCTTACATTTATGATTTTTAGTGCAACATTTGCCTTGTTTCCTGATCTCATTGTAACATTGATCACTTCTATTCTGTAAGGATTGGCTACTGAAAAGGCAAATATAAAGTAACAATACATTATCACTGTACTCTGTACACTTACTTTGTCCATTAATACAGCAGAAGATACTGCAGCAGAGTAGTAAATGTTTGAGGCTCAACATGTTTAGGGATATCACAAAAGAGGCTCTTCAATGCAGGGCTATATCACTGGATACTACAGGAAAGAGATCTTGCATGTGTATTTGCATAAAGTTTCCTGATCAAATTAATTTATGGATGATGTCATATTACGTTTGCTGTTTTTTTACCGTATTACTCTAATATAACGAATGCTAATCAAATAGAAATAATATTAGAATTTTAAAGATGGTGAGTTGTCTTTTTGTGTTTTGACTTATTCTTTATTTTAACGTTATAGGGTGAGCAGCTGGGACCAGATCCTGGAGAAATGAGCTCTGAAAGTGAGCCAATAAACGTAAAGGTATCCTCTGGAGGCCAGATATATAACGACCTTGGGATTTGGGACCAATTTTTGAATGGTATTATGAAAATAAGGTTGCTAATTTTTATATAATATGATGTTACTAATTAAGGTTGGGGGTACATTTCACGTTACGGCTGGTTCATTCTATTGGGACTAATAGTACTGCTCTATGTGTGGTACAAGCTAAGGCCCAGTGTACAGGAATGGCAAAGGAAACAGAAAGAAAGACAAGAGGAAAGAAACTTTGGTGAGCTCAGATTTGGATGCCATATGCACTGTCACACATAAGTATTAGAAATATTTACACTCATTATGGGCTCAGGGTTTCTCCCAAAGCATGCTAAGTGAGCTAAATAGCATGAGCTTCATGAGCTGACAAGCACTACAATACAATGTGCCAGTACATGGCTTTGGGGTAACTTTGAAAAATCATAAAAAATTCAATTGTGATCGGAATCAGCTCAAACTTGATACACAACATAAGAACATGTATATGTATCAGAAAAAATTATAAAAATGGAGAATTCTCTCCTAGTCATTTTTGGCGAAATTTGGCCAGAACCCCTGTACTATAGCCCATGGTCTTTGGCCTGATTTTTGAGTAACTTTAAAAATTTATAAAAAATTCAATTGTGATCGAAATCAGCTCAAACTTGAAATACAACATAAGAACATGTATATGTATCAGAAAAAATTATAAAAATGGAGAATTCTCTCCTAGTCATTTTTGGCGAAATTTGGCCAGAACCCCTGTACTATAGCCCATGGTCTTTGGCCTGATTTTTTAGTAACTTTAAAAATTCATAAAAAATCTAATTTTGATCAGAATCAGCTCAAACTTGAAATACAACGTAAAAACATGTATATGTATTAGAAAAAAATTATAAAAATGGAGAATTCTCTCCTAGTCATTTTTGACGAAATTTGCCCAAAGACCCTGTAAGATACTGATACTGATAATAAACATATCTTTGCTGCTACTAATTTCTTATTTAGATCCAGTAAAAGCTGAGAAGTATCAAGACGCTATGCTACAAGCACGTGAGAGGATGCAAAGAAAACTAGATGAAGATGCAGCTGTTCGTGCAAAGAAAATAGAAGAAGTGAGAAAGAGAGAGAGAGAGAGGAACACATAGAATGTGACATTATCTTTTGTAGAGAGAAGCCAAGAAAAGAGATGAGAAGATAGAGCAATGGGAGACGTTTAAAGTTGTAGCAAAATCAAAAACTAAAGTAAGACTGTACAAAGAGAAAGAGAGGAGACATGCTGTATAATTTATGATAGAAGAAAGCTGAGAAAAGTTATGATTCAAATTACCTTCCGCTTGGAGGAGGAGGGGGAAGGGGAGGAGGTTTCAGACCAAGTAGTAGGAGACAAGGTTAATTTGTTTAAAAGCTTTACTATTTTTTAATGTTTTTCATAATTTTTTAAAATTTTTTATAGTTGGAGGTGGTGGATGAGGTTAAGCATCACACGTTATTGCTATGGTAACCATTGCCATGGCAAAACGTGTGAGTCAGGACAGAACATTTTGACTTCTATCCCAACCTGCAGCACCTTACCAGTTACTGGGAGAGTGTAATGAAGATACCTTCTTAAAACTGGGCACAGTTGGAAGGTGTCTGATGATGCAGGTGGATAGGGTCGTCCTTATCTTATAATTATTGCTTCATTTCTGATTTCTCTGTTATTTATACATGCATCATAATTATTATTAATGGATTAATAATAATGAATAATTAATGAGATCAAAAGCCACTCCTTTCAATTAAGGAGGTGTGGTTTTGTAATTTAATTGTCAAAATGGTTGATGAAGCAACAAAGAAAACTCTAGCAGCTATACCTCTCCTCTCTATAAGAGCCGGACCCCGTGACGGGGACAAGTGGGTTGAGAGACTCAAGGAGGAATATGTCTCACTCATAAAAGTATCCCTTGAAATTCAATGGAATTTTAAAATAATATTTTAATAATGTTATTTTCTAGTACATTAGTAATAATAAAGAGGCTGGTACAGACTGGTTTAGATTGGAGTCGAATAAAGAGGGAACAAGGTATGGGATCATTTAAATTTATACCCTCATCCTTTGCAAAATAATCTACTCTTGAATAACATTCTCTTCTAGATGGTTTGGTAAATGCTGGCATGTTCAAGATCTCCGTACCTATGAGTTTGAATTAGAATTTGACGTAAGCATAAACTCACATGCAGTATTTCAGGGTGTGGTATTATAGGTGTATACTTTAATTGCATTATATTGTTAATGTTGATTAATATGTTAGGGCAGGAAACTTTAATTGAATTAAGTATCAAAATTAAAATTATATCGCTGACTTTGTATCAATTCTACTCTTGCTTTTATATTAGATTCCAGTGACATATCCAGCCACAGGGCCTGAGATAGCCATACCTGAACTTGATGGTAAAACAGCAAAGATGTACAGGTTAGTTTATGATCATAATGACACCATTCATTTTTTCATTTGTTACTCTCTCCTTCCATTTTCCTCCTGCTAGGGGTGGAAAGATATGTTTGACGGATCATTTCAAACCACTTTGGGCAAGGAATGTCCCCAAATTTGGTATTGCTCATGCCATTGCTTTAGGAGTAAGCATACATTCTCTCACCCTTCTCTCCTTCCCTCTCTCTCTTCTTATAATACCAATTTTTATGTTTTTTTTTTCTCTTTTTTTTGTTTGTCATTAGTTAGGTCCGTGGGTTGCTGTTGAGATTCCCGACCTAATCCAAAAAGGTTTTGTAAAGCACAAAGACGAAACGAACTCAGAGCAATAAACGCTAATGAATAGCCTGTTTTATATTATAAATAATTTATTATTATTTCTATTTGCACTCTTTTCATTACAGCCAATGAATAAAATTAATATTTAGTGTAGATGACCCATGTTTTTTCCCATGGCTTCCTAAAAGCGGAGGTGTTGATTGCCTTGCGACAATAGCAAAGGACTGGCCAGCCAATGAGGTTGCCCTCGAGTCATGGCTCTTGTCCTCATAACTGCTGCCTCCTTCTTTATCTTTCTCTCACCAGCTCAATCCTGTCAACACGGGAGAGTGCATTTAACAGTAAGCTGAAGCCATTTTACAATCTCCTCTGCTAATAATGATGATATTTTCAGACTAGATATCATTCTCAATATTATGGTGTTGTTCAAGTTTGTCTTGATGGTTACTGGCACTCAATTTGCACTGATTTCTGGGACAATCAAGATGCTACTGTAGTCTGCAGACAGCTTGGATTCTCTCCTTATGGTACAATTTTTTAATAATTATTTGTAATTACAATGCTCTAATTATGAATAGGTGCTATTGGGCCAGTTGCTTCCTATCAGAGCTCCTCTGTGTCTAAGTATATCACTGATTTGAATTGCACTGGATCAGAAACAAGCATACTTGACTGTCCATACAACGGCCTCGTAAACCATACCTGTGAATACAATACAAGATATGCCAATGTGTATTGCCAAGGTGTGAAAAACATTACAACTTCCACCCTCTCTCTCTCTTTATTGCATTATTCTTCTTTCATTATTATGCAGCTGCTAATATTCCTGAGTCTAATTGTACTGATGGTGAGGTACGACTGATTGGTGGTTCCACTTATTATGAAGGAAGAGTTGAAGTGTGTGTCAATAAAGCCTGGGGAACTGTCTGTGGCTATGGTAACGGTTGGGGAAAGGAAGAAGCAAGAATTGTATGTAGTCAAGTTGGTGGAATGAAATTTGCTGCAAGTTACGATCTTGTTGAGGGGATTGGTTTTTCAAGAGGCTCTGGTCCTATATTAATGGGATTCTTGAACTGCAATGGATTGGAGGCCAACCTGACATTATGTGCTCAACAATACTTCTTCACTCAATACTACTGTACCAACCATTACTATGATGTAGGACTAATATGTCAAGGTTGGCATCCTTCAACTATTAGTATATTTATTTATATAATCATTATATCAATATTTGCTTAGCTCCTTGTGAAGAAGGTGAGATCAGGTTGAAAGATGGTGCTTCTGCAGCTTCAGGTCGTATCGAGTTGTGTCATGAGGGAACATGGGGGACCATCTGCAGTGACTTTTGGGACAACACTGATGCTAGTGTGCTTTGCAAACAAATGGGCTATTCGCCTTATGGTAAATATAATCAATTGATGTTGTACATAGTGAATCATATTGTTGTACTATTACATTTGTAAATGTCATTGTACTAAATTGAATTTGTTTTGTCTTTTCTTCCTGAACACAGGAGCCATTGTCTTGCATAATTATTATTTTGAGAGGGAATGGCCCCATCACATTATTGATATCAATTGTACTGGAGCTGAGGACAACCTGAGGAACTGTTCACAGAATTTACTCGTTGAGACGTACACTTGCTCCCCTGATCATGATGCAGCTGTCAGTTGTCAAGGTACAAGACTAGTACAAATAGTAATTCTATTTATGCTGTATTTTGTAAATTTTCTTATGCATTTCAAAGTTCCAATTATTCCCCTAGGTAGCTCTTTCCCTCGTGCTTCTTGTACCGAAGGTGACATTAGGTTGGTAGCTGGTACCACAAGGTACGAGGGAAGGATAGAAGTATGTATTAACAATGGCTGGGGAGGAGTATGCAGTCCAGGCTGGGGAGCATTCGATACTAGAGTAGTGTGTAGACAACTAGGACACATGGAACTAGGTATTCAAAATATAAACATTATTTTATTTAATTATTATACATTTTGTTGTTATTAAAAGATATGAATGCATAATTTTGTTCATTCATTATACTGTATAGGGTCAGTCGCTTATGTGTTATCAGAGTTTGGTAAAGCAACAGTTCCTGCATTTCTCTCTGATGTGTCATGCTCTGGTCGTGAGTCTCGACTCATCAAGTGTCCTTATGATTCATATACTGCCCTCACTTGCACTGGGTCCCAAGCTGGAGTCAAATGTGAAGGTAATACATTAATAATGTGCTAACAAGTGAATATGCTTTGATTTCATTAAATTATATTAGCATCATGTGAGAATGGGACTCTTCGTCTGTACAGTGAGGATGGCAGTTACTACAGGAGATATGGTAGAGTCCAGATATGTATTAATAATACGTGGGGAACTGTCTGTGATCAGTACTGGGATGATGATGATGCTAGTGTAGTGTGTAGAATGTTAGGATATTCTCCTTATGGTAGGTAACAAATGAAGACCATTACTATTATTAATAATATTATGTACATGTATGGTTTAGGTGCATCAGCTTTGAGAGGGTTATACTTAGAGGGTAATTGGGATCATCTCATTTATGATTTAAATTGTACCGGACAAGAGGGCTCTATTTGGAACTGTCCGATGAATGGGAATAAAGCGGAGCTATTGAGGATCTGCACTGGCTATCATGATGCTTCAGTTATATGCCAACAATGTAGGGAATCAATGACAAACCTCACATTATTGATAGTATGTGTGTTTGTCCATAGTAACCACAGATGTAAGAGATAGTGATTGTAGTAATGGAGCATTGAGATTGGCTGATGGGCCCAGTGTGAATGAAGGTAGAGTTGAGGTATGTTATAATGGAGTATGGGGCTCAATATGTGACAGTAGTTGGACAGCAATTGAAGCTAACATTGTATGCAAGACACTAGGACACCAAAAATATGGTGAGCTAGAGTTTGTGTATGTTTTATGATTTTAAAATTATTTTTTCAGGTGCTGAAAATTATAAGAATTCTCACTATGGTCCTGGAGAAAGGCCAATGCACATTTATAATTTAGATTGTCAGAGCTATCACACTAACTTTACCTCATGTAGGATTAACAGGTTCCCTTACTATTACACTGGCTGTAATAGGTATCATGAAGTTGGGGTGAAATGTGATCGTAAGTTTTAAAAATAATTCATCAGTTTTAAAAACTATTTTTAGCTCTTTGTGTGCATGGAAGTGTACAGCTGTATCACGGACTCTCGAAGCGTTATTCAACAGTGAGGGTTTGTGTCAATGGGACTTGGAACAAAGTGTGTGGGCGTGAGAACTCAGTCGTCGATAATAACCTTGCACGAGTTGTATGCAGTCAAGCTGGTTACTCTCCATATGGTAATTAAATATTGTAAAAATATTATAAAATTCTTTTTCTTTTAAAGGTGCAATGAGTTCAGTTGGGCTATGGAGT